AAAAATAAACAATTAATGTATAAAAAATAAATAACTTTTTCACATGTGTAGTAAAATTTTAAGAATTTTAACTGATATTAAGTTAGGTCAAGGGTTCTTATTGAAATTTTTTCTATTTATATTTCTTAAAATGGTATTAAAATATAGAAGCGGGCCTTAGGATTTTACACAAAAATATTTATCATGTTCTTGTTATTCATAAAGTAAATAAATAACATGAGAAGAAAAATTAAGAAGAATTGGATGCAGGCACATGCTTTTCAAAAACTGTATTAGACAAAAACCGTATTAGAGTGTGTTAAGTTTTTTAAGTAGGGGTAGTGGCTTAGGGTGGGTTTGTTAGCTTCTCTGTGTTGATGATAAATTTAATTTGTATTGGCATGATCGTATGAATATTGTGATAGAAGTTGTCGGGAATTCTGCTATCAAGCTTTAAAAGATCTTCAAGAAGTGTGCATGGGGCTTACTTGGGTACGCATCCAGTATTAATTCTGGGTCTAAAATTATAGTTTTAAAGAATCTTATTCAAACACTCTTAATTTTTCCAAATTCCATTTCCCTTCCAAACATCATATGGTTATTTAAATATAGAATTGAGGTTTTTGATTGTGCATATAAAATATTTATTATGTTTTTGTTATACATAAGGTAAATAAATGACATGAGAAGAAAAATCAAGAAGAATTTGATGTAGGCATAGGCTTTTCAAAACTGTATTGGAGTGTGAGAATTTTTTTTTTTTGGATTTAAATCATCTAAAGTTGAGATTGGTAAATTTTTGTGAAGTTTCTCTTTTTAAGGAAGAGAGAGAAAATTTTATATTTTTATAAAAATAATAAAATAAGAGAAAATACTAAAAAAAAAACTTCACTTAAATTCATCAATTTCAACTTTTTGAGGATTTAAATCCTGCTTTTCTAAATAGGGGTGGTGGCTTAGGGTGAGTTGTTAGCTTTTACTTTTGGATGACTCTTACACATGTTTGAGCTGTGTTGATGATAACTTAATTTGCATTGGCATGATCATATGAATATTGTGATAGAAGGTTGTTGGGAATTCTGCTATCAAAGCTTGATCTTCAAGAATGTGTATTGGGGCCTATTTGGATACACAATTAGAATTAATTTTGGGTCCATAATCATAATTTTCAAAAATCTTATCCAAATACTCTTAATTTTCTCAAATTTCATTTGCATTGTAAAACTCCATTTGATGTAAGTTATTTTTTTTTCTCCATTTGAGAATCAATTCTACGCATTTGAGCATTTTTCATTTTTTTTATTCTTATAATTGATTCTAAATAATTATTCAAACATTTTCAATTATCAAAATCAATTTTACATAATATTATCTAAGTATCATCATATTTTATTAATAATTTTTTTATAATCAATTTTTTCTAATTAAAATCCAAACACACCCTTGTTGATTTTTAAAGCTCAATTGCAAATCTATAGAGTTTAAAAAGTCGGTCATTCTTTCCTAATATTTCACTTTTTTTAATCCATATTCCCATTTTTCATAAATATGAAAAAAATACAACATAATTAACAAATATATATGAAAAAAAAAGTTTACATTGAGAATTTCAACTTTTGGTTACTGGAATCACTAACATCCAAAAATAGAAGCTAACAATCCTACCCTAAACCACTGCTGCTAAAAAAAAAAAAAACTGATCACAATCTAATGCACATTTCAAAAAGCCTAAGCCCACATCCAATTCTTCTTTTTCTTCATGTTTTACTAATTTCATGCAATAAAAACATAATAAATACTTTAATTTATATGCAAAATCTTTAACCCCTTCCATATTAAATTGCCATTCGATTTTTAGGTCATGGTATTACAACATAACTAACGCCTTCTTCTTCTTCTTCTTTTTTTTTTTTGGGTAGCTTTTTTATTTACCCTCCACCTCACATTAATGCATAATGATAAATGAACCCAACACACTTTTTTGGGCTAAAAAAAAAAAGGAACCCAACATTCTTTTTTGATTTACACAATGGTTAAAAAATTAAAAGTATCCTTTAGCTTTTTTTTTTTTTAATATCACCCTCCAAATACATCGGATGTAATGTCATTTTTACAAAGTCAGAGGATCCAAACTCAAATAAATATGTTGACATTGTGTTTTGTCGTTTCACAATTAAATTTATTAAAAACCATATCTCAACCATTAAATTTAGATTCTGTGTACTAAATATTATTTTTATAGCAAACTTTATTGTTTACATGCGTCTCCAATTACTTTCTATTGAAAAGAATGAGAATAAAAATTGAAAGAAACGTTAGAGGAGCTATTAATTCTTTTTTTGTGTTTCAAGGGAGAGTCTATTAGGTATAGAGGGAAAGAATGTAAGAAAAAGGTCAATGTATATAATTCTCTTGAACTTTGACTCACTTTATTTGATTTATTTAACTCATGAAATTAAGAAGCTAAGTCAACTCATATAAACTTTTAAATTTCTCACAATTCTCTAGTAATTAGAAAATTCTCTAATTTACCAGTAAAAAGTTAGTTCCTTTGCAATATATAGACAATTTCCTACAAATTTATAATTCATGAGTATAAATAACAACCCAATCCTATTTTTGGTTTATGAGATAGCTAATTAACTAACTATAGCCTTATACTACTTACTGACATTAATGACGACGACGACGATAAATTATAGTCCTTGGTTTTTTTTTTTTTTGGGTATAATAGTCCTTGGTTTTATTAATAATGCCTGTCAATGTGCTTCAATGCTACTTTTTGACAGTCTTACCAAAGACTATTATACTTTTTGTAAAAGTTGGCCAAAAAAAATATACTTGTTAAACAATCTAATATAGACTAATTTAGAAAAGGAAAATGATCAGTACAAGACTAAAAAAACTAAACTAGATAAGAATACAAATATCATAACAAGTCATACAAAATAGAATTATATATATATATATTATAAAATATTGAATTAATTACATTGTTCATGACCTATAAGATTAGCTTGAAGTTATAGTATGTCATGTTAATTTGTATTATTGTATTAGAAATATAAAAATTTTCTGCTATTATCCCCTTCTAATTTTCTACCCCTTTCCTCTTCTATAGTTTTATTTCTTAGAGTATTATGTCTCTCTCTCTCTCTCTCTCTCTCATATTTCAGCTTCTTTTTTTCATAACATATTTCATGTTGATAGTGATATTTAGTAGTTATGACTGATTGAACAAAAGTTAACTAGCAGTAAAAAAGATTGGATTAAATGTGTGAAAATGCGAAGTTATCAAAATGCTGCATTTCTAACAAAATTAAGATATTTAAGTTTTCTTTCATGTTTCTGTATTATAATTTTTTAATCTATTTATAATTTAATAAATAAAAGTAAAAATTTTAAAAAATATATTTGTGTTTGACTTTTTTCTGGTCACTAATAAAGAAACTGTTTTTAAATCATATTTCATCAACTGGATTAATTTTACTTCTTTGATGTATACTATAAAATCCTAAATCGTAAAATCATATTCATTTCAATTATTTTTTTCATAATAACGTAAAGTAATTTTATTTCATCAGTTTTTATTTTAAATTTTGAAAATTTTTATTAACAAGACAGATCTCAATCGATATTTGTTTCTAATAAAATTTCAATTATAAAATAATGATCAAATGAGCAATGGGATGAAGGGAATAGTAAGGGAAGAAAATTATGTAAGAAAATCCAGGACAAACTCAAAACAAGCAAGTTATCATAGAGAAATAACATAAAAAAGATGATGAAAAAAATATTAAGAACTCCACATTGACAAATTCAAAGTACACTCAAATAAACCAAAGCACTTAAATTACGAAGAGATTTTTATTCAAATTAAACACTATAAAAGATCGCCAAAAGCATAAGCTAAAAAAAAAAAAAAAATCCAAACCACTAACCTGTGTGAAAGCAACAACGCTCTAATTTTTCCCTCCATGGGTTGTTCTTTATTTTGATGCATAAAAGCAAGTGAAATTTCTCTATATGTTTACCATCAGATTTCAAAGATCCATATAAAACATGGCATAATAATAACCATATGGTTATAAATTGTGTCATGTTGAATCTTGATATAGATGGATACAAAATTATTTCTGATAGCAAACACTTAGAAGAAACATCACTTGAGATTCTTCATATATATATATATATATAATATATTTTCAATCACACGGCGACGGCGGCAGCCGCGGCTTGATCCTGGTTCATCCTTCGCCGGTTATTGTTGACCCATACAATGAACATTCTACGACTGATCCCTATTTGCATGCAAAAATTGAGAATCTCTTCCTTATCAGCTCTTTTAGGCCTCCAACCCAACCTTTCAGCGAAAATCCCCCATTCGGCTCTGTTGCTCTGGCCGTGAACATCGTTCCTCTTCTTCCTCTTCCTCCGTCCTGCGATGTTGTTGTTATTGTTAACATCGACATTTGCTGGCGATCCTCCACGTCTTGCCGGAAAGTTGGTTGCTGGTGGTGGTGGAGGATTTGCATGATAGGAGTATAGATAACTTCTTTCCGATGAAAGTTCCGGTGGCATTTGCAAACTGCACAGAGAAACTCATGCTGGGGGTCACCGTCAACGGTGTTGTTTGTGTTAGGTTTGAGAAACTCATAGCAACCATCGTTGGCTACAAGGCCGAGAGAGGCTGCATGGTTATGCAGACACTCCTTGTAGATCACTTCTTGCTTGTAAGTCGCCGAAACATTTATGTTAATATCAGACATTGTTAATGTTGGACTTGACGGAGACATGAGAAGGAGGCGTTTTATATAGAGAGGAGTGGATCCTCACACAATTAGTTAAAATTCGTGTAAAGAAATATGCTTATGTAATTAATCAAGGTTTTTTTTAATACTATAATATGTATAATTTTGACTTATATCTTTTATTATGTATTATGATCATTTAAAAAAAATATTTTAATTTAATGGGTCATCTAGAAGAATGTAGTTAATTTCTCCTACATAAAAAAGGAAGGTCTGGGAGGCATGGGGAATAAGCCATTCCGAACTTGGTTTTCGATTTTTTTTTTAATTGTTCATGCTATAGCCACTAGATTGTTTCATTTTTTTATTGCATGGGGTTTTTTAAAAATAAATTTATATTTTTAACTTGCTATAAATTTCATATTTTATTTTAATTCGATTTTCTAACGAGGATCCAATTAAAGAGCTTATATCTAGTATACATATGAAATGTGCATAATAGTTGCATTTTATTCCTTTTAAATTTCATTGTATTTTCTAATTTTTAAAATTTCTTAACTTATATAAAGCAAAATGAAAAATAATAACAATAAACTTATTCAAAATAATGGTTCAAGTTATATAAAAATATGATTATAACATATGGATGATAGAAATTAAATTTGAAATATTAGCTGAGGTATGTCTATTAAATTCCTAAACATTTGTTTGGTTAACGAAAACTTTAATTTCCTTATTTATTTTGGGTATTCTTGAGAAATTAATAGATTCATTGTATTGTGGTGGAACAATGTCTACTTTTGGAGTGATTGCATTGTCTTTTGGAAATTCATCAAGATATTATGTATCTCAATTAATTGAGTTGAATTAATAAATAATAATATTTAAAGTTTAAGAGCATTGACTATATACATTTTTCCATTTTGACAAAAAATAATCATGAAAAATTACCTTTTTTTCCTTATAAGCTAAGATTTATAAGTTGCAACAACAACAATTAACAAAAGAAGTCATGTTTTTGTAAGCGATATCAGCTACGTGAATCCCATAACAACATTATATTATAAACAATTATAAACCAAGATTGAGTTGCGATGAATATATATAGATAGACTAATACGAATTGACACAAATTAAGGACTACAAAAAACTTGCTTAGCGGTGGCATCCCCCATGTCCACTAACACAATGAAATAATAACAACAACAATTTACGAGGGGGTCAAATTAGCTTATTTAATTTGAGTTTTGAGTTTGAATCTTAAGATATACAATTATATTAAATAAATATGTCAAAAATATTTTTGAGATAGCTGTGAGTCCGCCTTGATAATAATAGTCCTACAAAATAGAAGTTTGGACTAATTTGAGCAAGAGATGGTAATACCCTGAGTTTCCCAAGATATTGGGGTGATGAAAAAAATTATTTATTTTGTTTTATATAATTTCTTAATATTTTTTTAAATATTACTATCATTATTATAGAATCGGGCATATATGATGCCTGATATATGGCAGTTATTCAAAGAATTGTCAACTACGTGGAGGTAAAATTTTGAAATTTAGCTTATTTGGCAGTTCACATAGGAAACTGTCAAACTTAATGAACAATAAAGTTACAAGTTTGACAATTACGTAAGGGAACCATCAAACTTGTTGAAAAATAATTTAATTTAAAATTAAAATTTAATATATTTGATGGTTGTCTTATTGAACCGTCAAACTTTGTGTAATATATTTGGCAGTTAAAATGGGCAACCATCAAACATGGTGATTTAAAATCCACCCCTTCTGCATCCTTGAACTCACCTGCCGTTCTTTTTATCATCTCTCTTCTCTCTCTTCTCTTTATGATTTAGTAAGATTCCAGCATACCCAATTTGATTTCACCTTTCCTAGCTCGATTTCGGCCCATCCCCTTCATTTTAGGCATACCCCATTTGCTCTCGAGTATTGTCTTCATCCTCCTCCATTATTTTCAATTTCACCTCCTCCACAGGCATTCAAAGGTTCATCAGCGTTATTGGGCTTCTTAAATTTAGGTAAGCATGCTTCTTTCACCTTCCTCTTTCTTTCTTACTCTCCACTGCTCGAATTTACGAATGCATAATAATTTTAGAAATTTGAAGAGAACTATGGGATTAATTTGAATCCACTTTATGGGATTAATTTAAATTGTTGTTATGGGTTACTTTAAAATGCCTATTGGACCAAGAATGTATGATTAGTTTGTTAGTTTTATTGGTGATTTATTTTTAGGCAAATTTAAAGCAATTTTTTGAATTATATTTTGTTTGATTATTATATGTTTTATTTTATTGTATTGTGAATTTTGTTGTTATTGTTATGGTTGAATTAGGTTGGATAGAGTTGTATAGGGCTGTGAAATTTAGTATGAAGTGATGGCAAAACACCTCAAAAAAGTCACATTTTTAAGCTGTTATGCTATTAGATTTTGATCTAAAAGTAATTAAATTTGACATAATTGTAAATTTTCGTGATTGATTTGGGCTGAATAATTATGTTTACTAGATTGAATGGGGATGAAATTAAGTATGAATAGAGGGCATATGCTTGAGAAAGTCTCATTTTCAAATGGCTATACTGCCGAATTTTTATTTAATACTTAAAATATATACTTAATTTCTCAAAAAACTAAGTATAGTTGCAAGTATTTATTTTACTTTAGCTTAAAAATAGATTATGTTGCATGTAGTGGCTCATGACTCATGGATGCTTTTAAGTAGTTAATATTTCTTGTGTTTGTCTCAAGTATTCCTCCAATATGATTGAGCCACTCATTACATTTTCTAAAATAATTTTTGATAGATTAGGATTATGAATAAGACATGGATGTCTGTGAATCGAGTATCAAAGGAATGTTTGGATGGGGTTAAAGAATTTATTAGGTTTGCACTTGAGCATGAAAATTACCATAACAGTATTGTGTGCCCTTGTGTAAGATGTGGTATCTTGAAGTGAATTAGCAAGAGTGAGTTGAAAGATCATTTAGTGTGTCACAGAATTGATCAAACTTACAACTGTTGGTATAAGCATGGTGAAGCAAGGAATGTGACCAAAAGTAGTTGTACTAGTTTGTGTCACATGATTTTGACACAAATATAAAAGAGGTAGACCGTGTTGAAGAGATGGTTAATGCGATTGAGGAAGAACTTAAGGGCTATCCTAAAATGCTTGAGAGGTTGAAAAATGATGTAGACACCTATGTACAATGATTGCACTAAATTCTAAAAATTTACCACTGTTTTGAGATTGTATAACTTAAAAGCGAGGGGCGGTTTGACTGATACAATCTTCATATAATTTCTTTCACTTATTCATGAAATGCTATTGAAGGATAATAATCTTCCAACTTGATCATACGATGCAAAATTGGTCATGTGATCTATGAGTATGAGCTATGAGAAGATACATATTTATCCCAACAATTGTATTTTGTTCAAAAATGAATATGCATCGCTAACTCATTGTCCTAAATGCAATGCATTACACTATAAGGATAATGGAAAGAGTTTGGAGAAGGCATTGGTACTTTCCCGTAGTACCGAGATTTATATGTTATGGCAGTGCTGTTGATTCAAAAAAATTTAACGTGGCATGCAAAAGAGAGGATTAAAGATGAGAAGCTTTGGCATCTTGCTGATTCTCCTTAAAATTTATCTTTATATGTCCTTATGAAATTGCTACTCATTGCGACCAATCTGCTAAGAGTTGTAAAGCTCAATCAATTGCTTTGTCTAAGTATTTTGGGGCAACGAACAATAACCCTTCAAAGGAACTATTATTCTTGGCACCTTACATGTAAGGGTGAAAGTTAGTTACTTGAACTTGTCAAATTAATTTCACTTTAAGAATTTCATTTTATAACATTTTTAAATTCTCTTAAGAACCTTAGATGTTAATTGCCATCCAGTCGGTTGGTATATGCCCATGGTTTTACTACTTGAATTCTGCCGATGAGCTACCAAGTAATTGGCAATATTTAATGGAGATGTTTAATATGTAAGCTTCTTAATTAACTTATATATTTTTTGTTGTTTCAAATTTTTAAACATCAATATTTTTTGTCTATTTATTAGGGCTACGGTGTTATATTGCACCCAGATACAACTCAGTATTTCAAGAGGCAAGAAATATGATCAATCCTGCAGTTGGAACATAATCAAGGTATTTCCTTTGAATATTGTCTTTATTATATGTTTATTTGTTTTAATTCATTAATATATTTTCATTAGTTTTTTTAAAGTGCCCTCAACAAAAGGATAATAGCTTGGATTATGGATATTGTCTTATGAGATATCTTAAAAATATCATTACTTACCAGCAGACTGTCATTTCTTCGACGATATGTGTGTGTGTGTCATTTGAATTCAATTATTTTACAATATTAAAAATATGTCAACTAACTTTTCTTTGATTATATATAATGCAGTACTACCCAAACATGTATTGTGAAGTATTTGAGGATGCTAGCATCAATGAAGTTATTGAGGAGTGGTGTTAAAATTCATTATAGTTGTTGGCTCAATATGTGACTAATTCATAGGGGGTAATTTCGATTTAGATCATTGGAGGATTCAATACTATTATATATGAAAATAATTGTTTTATATATTTTCAATCGATTAGTTTTAATTTATATATTAGAAGTATTTTGGATTGACTTCTGGTTGTATATACTTTGGTTTGAAATATAAGGAGTTGTGAAATATGTAGCCTCTCAATTTAAAAAAAAAAACAAAGGTAATATTTGACAGTTATGCCAATAACCGTCAAATATGGTGATGAATACTTAACAGTTATATATCATAACCGTCAAATATGATCTCATGACTCCTCTTATAAGCTAAATTTTAGCACTTATATATGATGGTTGATAACAACCATAAACTATTTACAGTCTGTTTGGATTGTCTCATTAATCGATTTTTGAGGCAAAAATCGATTAATATGAAAAGTTAGCCAAACAGTCGAAAATCATCAAAAATCGATTATGGGTCAGGACGCGCGTTTTTTCGTAAGTTCTCTCCATCAGCTTTTGCAAAACATTTATCAAAAAGCGTTGGGAAAAATTACAAAGAAAGGCCCAAGAAAAAATTACAAAGGAAGCACATAATTTAATAAAAATAAAATTAAACTCTCTTCTTTTCCCTTTTTTTCCTTAATAAAATTTAAACTTTATATATTCAAAAAATTAATATTTAGTATTTAAAAATTAAATTATATAGTAATTTATATAGTTAAAAATTAATTCTGATTAAATTATCCAAACATCTTCAATTTTGTTAAATATCAATTTTAAAAAAACAGTATCCAAACAGATTACGTTATAACATAATCAATTATGATTAAAATCTACCACTTAATCAATTATTTTCATAATCTATTATACCCAACTGAAATCCAAACGGATCCTTAGGCATAATATTTAACGGTTTCTTAAAACCATCCCTTATATATGACAGAGGCTTATTTGATGTTTGTTGATAGTCAAATATAGGAAAAAATAACCATAAAATATAGCCAATTTTATAATAATATATATAAGCTCATACAGACAATAACAATTTTACTCGTCTCATTAAGTAAAATCCACCACGGCAATTGCATAATGCCATTGTATTCTATAAACAACAATTACTATAAACCAATGCTAAGTTGTGATGAAATATCAACCATAGGATTTAAGGTGCCCCACTTTTCTACCAATAATAAAATAATAATAATTTTTTATTTTGTTATATATATTACATTAATAATGTTTTTGGTTATGAACATGTATCTTCTCATTAGAGAAAATTTTGTTTGAGACATTGTCAGGCACTAAACATGGACACCCCTCTTGATGATATGAATTATGTTAAATAATGTTGTTTTAAAAGAATAAAACTTTATATACTTTTTTTTTTAATACAAACTTTATAAACTTAAGGAGTCCGTATAAAGTTTAAATGAGAGAATGGGATTGGGCCGTTAGGTCCATAAGCCCAGCAAGGTTCGTCACTCGGGTATCGCAATTGAAAGCTAATTTCCAGTCTCAATACCTAGTTGATCGCAGTCCAGATCCATGGCTCTTTGGAGAGCTCGCGCAGTTTCTTCTGCGTTTTCGAGTATTGGCATTCTCAACTTCCTCAAACCTTTATCATTTCTTAACAATGCTTCTCGAAATTTTGCTTCCGGTACTTGACCTCTCTCATCTCTTTTATTCTCCTGCTTTTTCCGTGGCGTTTTTATGTTCCTACGAAACCTAGGCTTTCATGTCAATGGGGTGAACGAAAAATGATTTATCTGTTAATGTTGATTTTTTTTTTTTGGCTGAGAAGTCGAATATTCCAAATGGTTTTAGTCGGATGAAGATTGAAGGGGTCCGCTTCTTTTCTGGATTCAGAAGGGTGGCTTCCTGTGTGTTCTACATGGTTGCCTTTGCCGTAGACCGTAGTGAGAGTGAGTGAGTGATAAGCTGTAGGGTTTGCTCAAGTTTCTAACGTTTTAGCCTGGTTTCAGTGAAGATGATAGGAATAGGAATTGGGTGAACTAGTCTTGAAGGCTTTTTTCAACATTACTTTAATTGAAAGGCTTGAATGCCTAGTTTACGGGGATTGGGCTTGCTCTGTTATTCTTACATGGGGAGTAGAGTATCTTATTTATTTTTAAATGTTCAAAGGAGCTTAGCTTCATGGTGATTTTCGAGTTCAGCCAAGGACAAGCGCTCACGAAAATGTCTGGATCAGTGTTGTTAAAGGCAATAGGCACGCTCAAGCCGAGTGAAGCAAGTTGCTTCCATGTGAAAATGCATAATATATAGACAACAAATCTAAGATAAAATGATAAATTGAAATTTACTTAACCTTCATATAAATACTCTGAAAAATTGTGTCATATGAAGAAACACAGAGACAAAAGTAGCAATCATTTTATACATTAAATACTTTGAAAAATTGCAACCAAGTGCCAAAAGGTGCACAAGGAACCCAAAGGCGAGCACCTAGGTGAACCCATCACCTCTCTTCACACTAGAGGTGATGGGGCTGTTCTGCACTTCGCCTCAGCACCTAAGGTGCAAAGGCGAGTGCCTTTAACAACGGTGATTTGGATGCTTTTTCATTAGAGCAATTGAGTAAAGAACATGCTGAAGCTTGACACTGGATTTCTTGACATATATTTCTGAAGTTTATTTTATTTTCATTCCTTTTATGGAAACAAATATGAAAATTTTTTAGTTCTGTCTCATAAGTTGAAATAATTGAAATCAAAAGGTTTGGATCTATTGATGGTTTCTTTCGTTACTTTCTTAGAATGATGAAAATTGTGCTCAGATAAATCCATATTTGTATCCATTTCCATTCAACTAGAGGAGGATGTGTATAGATATCTTTTTATTTTGATTATGCAGAATTGAATAGAATCATAACATGCTGTCTTGCCAAGAGTATTGAAATAAGCAGTTCTGTTTATTGGCGTTTACTATGTCATACAAAAGTTAGGAGCTAATAGGTTTGCCTTGCTATCACATTTTACCCTTATTTCTGGTGGTCAATCAGAAGAATGGAAAAAAACAATAGAAGAGCAGCATAAAATGTGTTGGAAGTTGTCAAGATAATTAGTTTGCTAATTTTGTTATTAATTACCTCGTTTGTTGGTGACTGTAAAATCTATGTGAGGGGTATCACATTGTTTTAGAGGATTGTTGTATCATTGTAATTGTGTTAGTTTCTGTTAGTTAATAATAAAATACTCCTTCCAGTCCAAAATATAAGCAATGTTTTGGACAAATCCGCATGCTAACAAAGTCCTCATTCTTATAAAAATATATATTGTTTTCTTGTTTTACCTTTTCCTAAAAGCTTGATAAATGATAGAGCACAATGGCGTCTTGCAATCCATGTAGCCGATCCCACCTAGTGGGATAAAGGCTTGTTGTTGTTGTTCTTGTTTTATCTTTAGTTTCAATTACTAATGTATTTCACGATGAGTGAGAGATAACTTTACATCAAGATTTAGGTTGATAAATACAAGGGTTAAAATTGGATTTTTTTTTTCATGTATTAGGTTGCTTATATTTTGAGTCAAGATTAGCTTAGAGAAAATGTTTATATTTTGGAGCGGAAGAAGTAGCTGTTGGGGGGTGTTAGTTAGTTAAAGGTTGTTAATAGCCCTCAGGAATAGGGAGGCTATAAGTACACTTCACTAATGTAATTCAGATGGCATGACCTTGGTGTGAATTATTCAGTGTATTATTCATGATTCTCTTGGAAAGCATTGGAAAAGAAGGGTGTTTGGGTTGCTTATATTCGAGCTATGCAAAATTTGTGAGGGGGCAACAACTAGTATGAGAACATCTTGTGGTGAAATAAAAGACTTTCTTGTAAAGATTGGGTTGCATCAGGGATAATCTTTGAGTCATTATTTGTTTAACCTAGTCTTGGATGTTTTGCTTGAGCACATTCAAGAGAAAATCTCCAAATGTATACTTTTCGCGGATGGGATAGTTTTTGTTGCAGAGACAAGAGAAGAGATTAACCATAAACTTGAGTTATGGTGGACATTAGAGTCAAAAAGTTTGTGCCTGAGTGGAAGTGAGACGAAATATTTATAATGTAATTTTAATAAGAAGTCAAGGAGTAGTAATTTGAAAGTGAAATTGAGTGATCAAATTATACCTCAAATGGAAAAGTTTAAATATTTTGAAGCTATTATTCAATATAATGGAACAATTGATGGAGATATTTTACATAAGTTACAATTTGGATGGTTTGATTGGAGAAATGCTAAAGGAGTTATTTACGATTGTAAAATACCTAATAAACTTAAAGGGAAGTTTTATTGAATTGCTATAAGATTAGCAATATTATATGGTAATAAATGTTAGGCTTTAACGGGACAGCAAGAGCATAAAGTTGGAGCAGTAAAGATGAGAATGTTAAGATGGATGTGTGGATATATACTTAAAGACAAAATCTAAAATGAGTGCGTTAGAGAAAAAGTAGATGTCACACCTATTGAGGGTTGGTAGAAAATTGTTTGAGATGATTTGGACATGTATAAAGAAGATTACGGGAGGCACTTGTGAGGAAAGTAGAATAGATAACTTTGAGCCCTGTCAAGAGGGGTAGAGGAAGGCAAAAATAAATACTTTTGAAAATTGTTGATCGAGACCTCTTTGGTAACAATATTTCTAAAAGTTTGATAAATGATAGAGTACAATGACATCGTACAATCCATGTAGCCTACACCACTTAATGGGTTAAGGCTTGTTTTTGTTGTATTATTCAGGAATCTCCTTGTCTCTTTTCTTCTCTCTCTCATCTCTCTCTCTCTAAACCTCTCATCTCCTTTGTTTCTCATTCTTCTTCCTCTCTTTCCCTCTCTTTCCCTTTTCTTTCTAGATTGTAAGCATTCAACATAGGGAGGTGTATTAAGTGTTACCTCACCCCATGCGGGGATTAGTTCTCATTACCTTTTAGTTAAAGGTAGATTGGTTGTTTCTCTTTGTTAATTCCGATTTCTTGTTGATCTCAGTTTTGGATTATTGTTTGTATTGTTACCCCGTTAAATTTTGTCAAGTTAACAAAATGTGATATTGATTTTTGTACCAAAAGAAAATGTGATAGTGATTTAAGATTTTAACCTGTTGTTGTTTCTTCCCCTTTCTCTGGTGTTAGATCCATGTGTATATAATATCAATCCTTCTTACTTTGTTTTGCTATTAACAGATTCTGCAAACACATATAACCGCAGTGCACGTGAGAGTGTGATGAATCAAATGATGTATTCTGACATAAATTCACAAATTGGGAGTTGCATGCCACTTAACGCTATGAGAATTGGGACAATCATTCATAACATAGAGATGAACCCAGGGCAAGGTGGCAAAATGGTCCGAGCAGCCGGGACTTGTGCGAAGATATTGAAAGATCCTTCATCAAGATATGTCTTAGTGGAACTCCCTTCAAAGAAGACAAAGTTGTTTGATTCCCGTTGCAGGGCTACAATTGGTAGAGCGTCCAATCCAACTCATGGTGATAGGAAGCTTAGGAAGGCTGGGCAGAGCCGGTGGCTTGGTCGAAGGCCAGTAGTTCGAGGAGTGGCCATGAATCCTGTAGACCATCCTCATGGTGGAGGAGAGGGTAAGAGCAAAAGTAGTGGAAAATATGGGAGAGTTTCTGTTTCACCTTGGGGCAAACCGACTAAGAGTGGGTACAAGACTGGCCCTCTAAAGCGCAGAAGGTAAGCCTGAGACTATATTTTCTTTGGTTAGCTTGAGCTCTTCTGTGTGATGATGTTAGTAATAATTGCTGTAACATTTATGTATGTTACAAGATTTTATCTGTCTAATTGATGAATTCTAAAAGGGCAGTCTTTTTGTGGATTTTGTTGGAGTGAATTGGTCATTGCAAGTTAATCGGTTTTCAGATGTTTCCATTTTCTGCTATACACAACATAAGGGTTTAGTAAGTTCATGAGGCTCCTCTGTTCACAGTAGGAAATTTGGCGAAGGTCCTATTCTTCTTTGATGAACTAAATTTAGATCAATTTTGTTTACGTGGACAGAGCACAATGACATCATGACATCATGTAATTATATAGTTAACCTCATTTAGTAGGATAATGTTAGTGGTGATTGTTTGTTTCCTTCGGTATGAATATTTGGCTTTAAAAGGCATGTTAACTTGATGATTTCATTATACATTTTGTTTTTGAACTGACTGGCCTCGTTATTCATAAATAGAGTAAGCCTAAAAAGAGAGAGAGATTATTATTATTATTATTCCCCCCCCCCCCCCAAATTTCTGTTTTTGCTTTTTGTTTGAGTTGCTGATCAATTATGAAGCTGGCTGGCTTAGCTAAATCCCAATTCCCCAGTATTGCAACCTTTTTAGTGCTTCAAACTATTTATTTTTATACTTTCTTTTATTAATTAATTTATTAATCTGGGACAATCATACATATGAGTTTGTAAATCAAGATATTCATATTCCTGACGCTTGAAGATTCGGCACACGAACATCAAGCTATGAAAAGCGGATATTTCTGTTTATTTTATCGTTAATATAATTATAAGTAATTGTTCAATTTTTCTGCGAGAATTCTTTTTTGGTGCCCAATATTTTCTGCGCTATTGTGCACAACGGTAACCCACGTAATTTGGAAAGAAATTTCGTATTGTTACCAGCTAAAAGAATAAAATAGATGTCCCATTGAAGTACAGTGCGCACCATTTGCAAATCAAGATATCTGCAGCAATTTAGCGTTGAAGTTTATGCGTATTTAGACAAATTTCTCATTGCACTTTCAAAATTTGGGAAAAGAAGTGCAATGACTTTAAGAATAGCTTGTAAACTTGCTATGTACATGACCCCGCGCCCGCGCGCACATATATATGTATGTATTTAATATATCTATATAACTAGATTGGATTTAAATGTTGTTGGATTCAACTGGATTACCTCTCTTAAAAATGTTTTCTATAGTAATGTTTGTTAGTATATTTGATAGTGTAATTGATTGATAAACATTTGATTTATAACTCAATAGTTTAATTAAAACGTATTATTAATTGATTGTTGTAAAACTTAGAGTTTTATGGGTTTTGAAAAAAATAAAGAATATGGAAAGTAATAAACGGAGAACGACAAAAAGATATACTAGAAATATATAAATAACAATTAAATATTACAAAATGTAATAATTATTTTTTAGTTCCTAGAAATTAATCTGTTAATTGGTTTTGATGTTAAAAGATTTTTTTTTACCTTTTTAGAAAATAAAAGAAAGATGATCATTAGAACTCATATTTGCTATTCAATTTTAATTATTTTCTTAAAAAAATTAATCATTTCTCAAAAGAAGGCAGTAACTAATTTTCAGTTGCTGAACTTTACTACTAAAATTGCACAAAACAACTTGTAATTTGCTATTCCGTTTAGTCATTTTCCTCAAGAAAGCTGGCTAATTTCCAAAAATAGCAATTAAGTTTTAATTGTTGAATTTTACTGATAAATTTTAAAATATGAGCAAATATGTTATTTTACAAAAAACAAAAAAAATTTCAAGCAAGTTTCTAAGGACTAAAAAATAATTATTGCATTTCACAATATTTAATAATCATTTTTATATTTTAAAAAAAATTTTCTGTCATTTTTCCATCAACACATGGAATATAAAGTGTCATATTTATACATTCTAAGTTTCTAATATAAGATATTTAACTATTTAATGAATCACATATAAGATTTTTAAATAAATAAAAATAGTTTCAAAATGTATAATTATTTTTTATTTTCTGCAACTGTTAACAAAATTAACTTATTTGACGCATAAAAGAAAAGTTTACCCATTTAAATTTCATCAATGTGAAAAAACCATTTCTTTTGGGAAAATATTAATAAAGGACTTATAAAAGAATTTAATATTTGATCAAAATTTCTAACAAGTAAATAGTAACAAATTAACAAATAAAATTATTATTTTAATAAGTATTTGATCAGTTTAATTCCTTCTCATATATTAAATTCTTTTAAATATTTTTTTATTAATATTCACTCTTTTTTTTTCAAATCTGGGGATGGCCTAAAGAAAAGAATAATAAAAGGAGAGAGATCACATAGGTTCTATATCAATTTTAGTTCCTTTAATGATCCTCTACTTCTTATTTAAGAGATGGTCAATGATAAAAGTGATCAATTAAGGAACTCCTATATGATGTAATGTCTTTTGATTTGTTTGATTCTATTTTAATAAAAAACAAAAAAACAGAAAAGGAGAGAGAACGTGAGTTGCCCATGGAGATTGAAGACGATGGTCTTGTAGCCCACTAGACAATCCAAGGATAGCCTCCATTCTTGTCTCTCTCATCATTTCACTCTCAAACAAAACCGCGTAGCTCACAACAAATTTTGCCTTTAAATACAAAGTCCCACCTCCTTTCCACATTTTCTTTTGCATCCAACTTCTTTCCTTTCGGTTTTCTCCCCTTTTTCTGTCACAAAAAAAAAAAAGAAAAAAAAGAAAAACTCAGTTCTTGAAAAAGAAAAGGCATAGGAATTTGAATGCCAGCAACCACACGGTTGCAATTCAACTAGAGGGACTACTATCCCTTGAGATGAATCCTGAAAGTAAAAGTTATATCCATCTCAACCAAGTATCTTCCAACAACTTAATTAAAAGATAAAAACTCGTGTTATTCACATTAATTTGAGCTGGTAGTTGATATGTATTATTAAATTTTCCGTCTTTCACCATCATTTTATTCAACTGGAGTTGTGCCAACTTAATTAAAGATTTCAAGTTCAAGCTATGAAAATGTAGCAATGTTGGCTGTAGAATTTCTACTCAAAAGGGTCCCATCATAATCTAATTTAAATTATCTTGGATCCCATTAAAGTTTTCTCAGATGCGAGACCAACCCAAGATATTGAGTGCTCTTTGCAAAAAAAAAAAAAAAATTCATTGTTTTTTAGATAATGCTCCCTCTAATCCTTAATATCAGACAAAATTGACTAACTTAATACTTATTAAAAAAATGTTAGTTATATTCTTAAAATTATATATATATATATATATATATATAACTTTTCAAATTTAACCTTCTTTTTGCAATAAATAATTATAATAGATTGTTGTCTAGGAATTGAAATCATACTAAATAAAAAGAATAATTAAGTAGAAAATAAAATTAATTACTTTAACTTTGTCTTACATTGAATACCAGAGAGTAAGTATGCAATGGCCCCCATTTCATCAGGCTTGATACATTATTTAAGGAACATTGAGTTTTCCTTTACCACATAACTTGATCTTTCTTGGTCGGTTGTTTTCATTTTCAAGAAATTTCTTGACCAGAATTTTAAAGCATTCGAAAACTTTTTTAATAATGGATAAATTTTCAAGTAACGTTTGAAATAATTAATAACGAATCAGTGTGAATGCTTAATAAAAGTATTGGTAACTGATGGTAAGGCCATATTTGCTGGTAACAGCTAATGTTGATCTGTTAATTGCAATTTTTGGCATCTTTACAGTCGACAGTGGTTTTCGCTTTTCAATTCCGCGTACGCTCTATATCTATTAATTAACAACCGTGCCTCCTGAATTTAATAAATTGATATTCCTGTTGGCCAATAAATAAATAAATTGATATTCCAAAATAAATTTCTTAGCTATTTGAGTATTTTAAAGCTTCATGAATATTTATTTTTGGTATGAGAAGCAGCAAAGATATATAATATTTTATATGTATATCTTGATTTACCTTTCTATCAAAGGGTCATAAATGATAATTTATCAAATAACACCCATTGAATTATTTTATTGTGATATTAAAATATAATGAAATAGATTCTAAGAATTTTAGTAGAATATAGATCAAATACCAAATGGGTTAAATATAACTTTTAAAATTTTAATATCAAACACTGCCTTTTATGACAAAAAATATATATATCAAATATAATATGCCCAATAAAAAACATGTCATCGTCATATGATTTCCCTCGATAAGCCATCACTATCTCAAACATCATACCTGTAGATCAATACAGCCAATGAATATGAAATATAAAACAAAATTATTAAACTATTTTTAGTTCATGACATATGCCACAAAAAAAATCCTGTAATAATAGAAACAACAGTTTGTCAAGTCAGAACACAAGGCTTATAGTAACGCCATAATATTGTTACTATTAATATATATTTATCAATATCCATATTAAAATTAATTAATATAAAATATTAAAACTCATAAAAGTTGGTGCCATTCACCCACTGTTAGTGCTAATGGTTAGCTTATAGGCTTTATTTTGACCTCAGTGCCAAGATGGGCCCACTCTGGTTAATTATAAGAGTTAGAAAGTAAGAGCTAAAATAGATAATAATTGAGTTGAGACCGTTTTATTCCCCACAACAAAAGGTTTGGTGATTTGGATCCTTATGACTAATCAGGATCAGAATTGCTTTAAGTTTAAAGAATATTTATAAATTACTCATCATAAAATTTTTTATATTGATAGTAAAATTTAATTTCATAATTTTATGAATTATAGATCAAATTTTTACTAACTAAATATATTAAATAAAAGCGCGCGCGCGCACACATATATATATATATATATGAAAAATATATAAATTTAAATGTTATTGACAAAATTATCGAGAGTGTAACTTAATTAAAAATGTTTTATAATAATAATAGAATGAGAGATTAGATTAAAGAGAGGTTGACGGTAGAGAGAATAACTGACATGATATTGATATGCAGATGGAACTCAATTTTATTTATTCCATCCCCGGCATCATGAGAACTTGGCAGGAATATTATTACCACCAATCCAAACTAATCTGAATCTTGGGGTCTCTATTAGTGATAGCCTCATGGGAATCTTGAACATGTTTTGATATTTT